TTGTGATGGAAAAGTTTACATTTTGGATGTACAGTATATAAAATGTAACAGTAAATTTGCTCAAGTACTGTAGTACAATTTCAAGGTACTTGTACTGGTTACACTTTAGTATTACCATCATTAATCAATGTTAAATTGATAGTCGATTAAACTTTAGTTAATAGTTATTTTACTGTTAACAAACAATGAAATGGTAATTATTGAAGTTGACTGATTATTAGTAAGGTTAGTTAGATTTGAATACAATCATCCACACAAGGCTTTACAACAAACTGTTTCAGCTGGCTTCCACCAGTCTCTATGTCTCTGGGTCTCTTGGACTTCTTTCTGGGTAAAACAAAGGTTGTCAATATTAGCAATAGATTTTCAAACTCTTCAATCATCAGCACTTCATATACCAGTGATTGCATTTCACACACAGATGAATAGGTTTGCTGATGATACAGCTCTTTGGGGAATGAGTTCCTGTAATGATGACAGCTTACAGGAACAATGTCTCATGTGTGATTGACTGGTGCAGCAATAACAATCTGCCACTGAATATCAACAAAACTAAAGAATTTGAGTTGGACTCCCATAAAAAATCAGGGAGAGCTAGTACCACTGGTCATCAACAACCAGGTAGTAGAGAGAGTGGATCATTTCAAATTCCTCAGGACTACAATCTCCTCCTCCCTGACATGGGAAGACATATTTACCAACATCCAGAAGAAAACCAAAGACTGTTCTTTTTAAGACAGCTTATGAAATGTGGGGTGTCAAAGATTGCAATGTTACAGTTCTACAGAGCAGTAATAGAAGGGGTGCTCAGCTTCTCAATAACTGTATGGTATGGCAATGTTACAGGCCACAAGAAAAACACTGATGGAGAGAATCAGCGCACAGCTTCAAAAAGAATTGTCTGTGTACTCACCACCATGTCTGAGCTATTCCACATCCGCATCCAGCTGAAATGTTCGAGCATTTCATTTCACCCACCATTTTATTTAACTTAAACACTTTACCTGCTCACTTGAGGTGAGCGTGGATGACAAGAATCTCTCAGTATAGTGTTTTTAGACTTAAGCGCTGCTTTCGATACAGTCCATCAGCACATCCTCATTAGCGGACTACACAAGTGTATTGGTCTCTCTGGCTCAGTTTTCCATTGTGTTAGGAAGTAGCTGCCCAGTAGAGAGTAGAGACTATCTGTCTCCGTTGGTAACCATGCAGGTTTCCTCAAGGCTCCGTTCTGTGACCTGCGTTGTTTAGTCTCTACATGCTGCTACTGGGAAATGTCATCAGACAAAACATGATTCATTTTCATAGCTATGCCGATGATCACTCAAATGACATCAGCCCTATTGATACAATTAGTTCAATGCATTGATCATATCAAATTGTGGATGTCAGATCATTTCTTGCATCTGAACAAAGACCGAAGTTATCGATAGAGAGAATCATCAGAGCAAAGCTCCAGAGAGAGATGCTGTGCCCATATTCAAAAATCTTGTTCTTCCAGACCCTGATTTGAATTTTGAATGTCACATCAATAATCTCACTAAAACTGCCATTTACCACCTTAGAAATACTGTTAAACGTTTTCCTCCCAGGCAGATAATAAGAGACTTATTCATCAGAATCAGAATCAGAATCAGCTTACGCATACATGGAATTTGTCTCCGGTTTCCACTCCGCTCTCAATGTACAAACACAAATTTACAATAAACAAGACAATATATATATAAAAAATAAAAAAGGGCAGCAAAAAAGTAGAACGGATGTAGGTATAGACATTTAGCTATATAAGTATAAAAATATATTCAAGAGAAAAAGTGTATATATATATATATATATACATGTGAACATAAACCTATAGACAATGGCATGAATTATAAGTGGTGGTAATAGTGCAGTATAACTTATTTATTGTTCATGAGAGTGATGGCCAGTGGAAAGAAGCTGTTCCTGTGTCTGGTGGTCTTGGCGTACAGAGCCATGTAGCGCCTACCAGAGGGGAGGGGTTGGAACAGCTTGTGTCCAGGGTGTGAGGGGTCTGCAGAGATCCTTCCAGCCCGTTTCCTGACTCTGGAGGTGAACAAGTCCAGGTTGAACGGCAGGCTGGAACCAATGATCCTCTCTGCAGACCTGACAATCCGTTGCAGTCTGTTCCTGTCCTGTTTGGTGGCTGATCCAAACCACACAGTGATAGAGGAGCAGAGAACAGACTGGATGATGGCTGAGTAAAACAGAATCAGCAGCTCCTGAGGTAGGTTGAACTTCCTGAGCTGGTGCAGGAAGTACAACCTCTGCTGTGCCTTTTTCCGGATGGTGTTGATGTTGGAGGCCCACTTCAGGTCCTGGGAGATTGTGGATCCCAGAAACTTGAAGGTCTCCACAGCAGACACAGTGTTGTTGTGTATGGTGAAGGGGGGGCAGTGTTGGGGGGCTCCTCCTGAAGTCCACTGTCATCTCCACAGTTTTGAGCTTGTTTAGCTCCAGGTTGTTCTGACTACACCAGAGGACCAGCTGTTCAACCTCCCGCCTGTACGCAGACTCATCACCGTCCCTGATGAGGCCGATGACCGTTGTGTCGTCTGCGAACTTCAGGAGTTTAACCGTTGGGTCCTCTGAGGTGCAGTCGTTGGTGTAGAGGGAGAAGAGCAGTGGGGAGAGCACACACCCCTGGGGGGCGCCAGTGCTGATAGTCCGGGTGCTAGATGTGATTTTTCCCAGCCTCACCTGCTGCGTCCTGTCAGTCAGGAAGTTAGTGATCCACTGGCAGGTGGAGGCTGCACAGTGAGCTGGGAGAGTTTGGGTTGGAGTATTGCTGGGATGATGGTGTTGAACGCTGAGCTGAAGTCCACAAACAGAACCCTTGCATATGATCCTGGGGAGTCGAGGTGTTGCAGCATGTAGTGCAGTCCCATACTGACTGCATCATCCACCAACCTGTTTGCACGGTAGGCAAACTGCAGGGGGTCCAGCAGGGGCCCTGTGATGTCCTTCAGATGGGTCAACACCAGTTTCTCAAAGGATTTCATGACCACAGACGTCAGCGCGACGGGCCTGTAGTCATTCAATCCTGTGATGGAGGATTTCTTGGGGACCGGGATGATTCATGCTTTCATCACTAGCAGGCTCGATTACTGCAATGCTCTACTTTCTGGTCTACCTAAGAAAGCTATAAATCAGCTACAGATTGTACAGAATGTAGCAGCAAGTGTAGACCAGACAAGACCAGAGCAGAAGGAGAACACATCTCACCTGTCCTGTCTGTTGTATTTCTATTTGTTGAGCACCGTGTGTTGCAATTTTGCATAGAAAGCGTTATATGAATAAATAAAGTTTAAGTTTAGAATTATTCACATAATTAAAGCAGCTTTTCACAAGATTTTCATTTTCATAAGTCTCTTGCATGTCCATGAAGGAGAACCTCATCAGTCATTTACCTACATGTGGAAATAGTTTAAACATCGTGGAGCACAATGTATGTTAACAATGCAGGGACACACATAAAACAAGATTCATGAATGAATCTATTGCCCCAATGCATGCTGGGACGGTTCACAGCACATCGCAATCAGACAATCATATGAATGCTGCTGATGGTTTCAACCTTCTACTCCTTTGACCTTTTTCAAAGCAGGCCTGATCAGTCCACAGTCAAAGCCATGTAAGAGCGCACTGCAAGATTATTTCATCCAGGACTAACAACTCAATCCTCAAACTGATTTCAAAGAATCTAATTAGGTGGATGATTTTAGCCTGATATCAATGTTTTAGCCAAAATGAGTCCATTTACATTTGAAGAACAGGGCCAAGATCTCAGCCCCATCCAACAGGTAAGCTATTGATAAAACAAATATAAGTGTTTCAGTAACTTGTGAAAACCAAATGTAAAATGGACAGAAGTTAAACATTCATACTGTATAATATACAGTAAACTGCAATTGTGCCAAGTTACCAGGATCAGTTTTGAGTACATCTTGAGGAGCAAAATAAAGCTTTTGTTGTAAATACATCAGAAAGCTAATTTTCAAATTCACACAACAGGTCTTTCAACAACGAAGATGCTATTGGGCAAGGCACTTACTCACAAGTTGTACCAGTGGACCCTCTCTGTAGAGGTCTTGGGAGGTTCTGAACCACTGAAAGCCTGCGGAATTCTACACAAACCCTGTCTTTGTAGCCCTCTGCACTCTGGGTAGGGTCTGACCAAAAACATCAAGAATGTTCTACAGTTACTGGACATTATTTTTGCAATTACTTTCCAAGCACAGCTCAGCTGCTTTGACTGGCCTTGACTATGATTTATTAAGAAGATGTAAATAAAGTTGTGGGTTCTGTCACTGTTGGCGACTGTGGCTAAGTGGAGAGCAGGGTTGTCCTTCAATCAGAGGATCGGCGGTTTGATCCCCAGCTCCGCTAGTCGCATGTGTCTCCCGTAGCTGTGCCTACGGTGTGTAAATGACTACGTCTGATAGGCAGGTGGCACTTAGCCCCTGCCATCAGTGTATGAATGGGTGAATGATGATATGTAGTGTGAAAGTGCTTTGAATGGTCAGAAAGACTAGAAAAGCGCTGTACAAGTACAGTCCATGTACCATTTACCATTTGTCTGATATGTCAGGATCCAACATAAAGTCGGCCATGTCACGGCAAGAATGTATGAAACTGTGATCGTCTCATCTGACACAATGACCATCTCAAAAGACTAAAGCTTCCTGTAGTCTGGTCCTGCCATAAGTCACAATTTATTTTTGTGTTGGTATATACATTACAGACCTGTGTGGACCAACAGTAAAGGAATGGCTTGTTACTGGTCAGCTCCCACTGGGAGACCTTTTCTTAATGGCACCACATTGTAACATCTGTTGGATGTATTTGCCTTGCAGTGTGCAGTGACGTTTAATGATCTCAGTCTTAATGACCAGGACTGCAGACGCATTTTTCAAGAATGGCGTAACAGTCAGTACTGTAGGCAGTAGTAGAAATTGCTACATTCTGTGAATACAAACCTGCTCACAGAGATTCAAGCCTCTCTGATGTTTTCCAAACCGGTCTCTGATTCTCATGATAGCTCAAGTGTGATTTTGGTTTTGACAAGGTAAGAGCTGTCTTGATGTGGCATTTTCCTATAACGCCTTTACTCCACCGCTTCACCACAATCTCTCTTGTGCTCATGTTTGGTCGAGTTCTGAGCAAAGGTTTAGTAAGAAACACTTGCATTTGATAACTTCCTTCCCCCTTTCTTTTCCCCCATCAGTCGTTGCCCTCTTCCTCATCTCCTTTGCTGCCTTTGCTGAGGCGCTGGAAGCAGTGGACTGTGGAAGCGAGGAAGAAGCTGGCCACGATGGCCGCCACTGAGACGGAAATACCAGAGAAGATGACGATGAGGTAGTCAGTGAGGGTGAGGGCACCACGGCACTCCCGAAAACTGTCTTCAGAGAGTAAACTTAGGGGAACACGACGCCCATCCAGAGGCAGGGAGCACTCTATCCCCTCCATACCTGGGAAGAGAGACATCAACAAGTTCATAATAATAATAGTAATAATACATTTTATTTATTGAGCGCTTTTCATAATTCTCAAAGACACTTTACATTAAAATCATCATATAAAATAAAGCTATACACTAACATTTTAAAACACATAATATCGGTCACACATTAAAAGCAGTTTTGAACAGGTGGGTTTTGATTTGAGATTTGAATATGGGAAGGTCAGTGCAGTCTCGGATGTGTTTGGGGAGAGAGTTCCAGAGGGAGGGGGCAGATATGGAGAAGGCTCTGTCACCCCATGTCCGGTGCTTGGTCCTGAGTGGAAGAGACAGGAGGTTGGCATCAGAGGAGCGGAGCTGACGGGATGGAGTGTGGTGGTGGAGCAGGTCGGTGAGGTAGGAGGGGGCCTGATTGTGGAGGGCTTTATGAGTGAGGAGAAGGACTTTATATTGGATCCGTTCTGGGACGGGGAGCCAGTGGAGGTTCTGGAGAACAGGGGTGATGTGATCACGGGAGCGGGTATGGGTGAGCAGACAAGCAGCAGAGTTCTGGATGTACTGGAGTTTATTTAGGATTTTGGATGATGTGCCGTGGAGAATGCTGTTGCAGTAGTCGATTCTTGAGGTGATGAAGGCGTGGATCAGAGTTTCAGCAGCAGATGAGGAGAGTGATGGGCGGAGACGGGCCATGTTTTTTAAGTGGAAAAAGGCAGTTCTGGTGATTTGTTTGACGTGGTGTTCAAAGGAGAGGAATTAACCAGCTGACAGGAACCCAGACACTGGACTTCCTGCTTACAAGGGTAAATGTGTCCGTTAGGACTGAATAGAGCAATAGAACGAGGGGTGGGCCGAATGGTTAAAGCTCATATCACATAACTACAACAGTTACGGTTCGACCCCTCTCCACTGTGACAATGTTGAGGTAAAATAATGATAAAGAATTATGCTGCTCATGCTACAAATGAATCTACCAGAAACGTTCACTTGCACGTTTGATTGCCAACCACAAGGAGTTGTTAGATGAGGTTGCATTGTTTTGTTTTAAAAGTTGAGGTCGGTACAACTTCTTTTCCCCTGATGACCCCGATGCTGTTTTCCATGTCCCTCTGCTGTGGCCCAATGGGGTGCTGTGTTCTCAATTAAATGAATGAGAGGGCGGCATTTTTGAGCTAATGATGTTCGTATGTACACAATGTGAATTTATGGAAAAAAAATATATATAATATTGGCCATTGATGATAAAGCAGGACTTAAAGAAGTAACCAGATCAGTGTAAGTGGTTCAACATAAGTTATCTAACCAATCATTGCAGCAATGCAACAAACCAATGGTTAACTGTATTCCTATAATACAGTTAATATACAGCTTTCACATGCATTGTTAGAAACTAAAGGTTTTGAGAGTCGTTGACTCAAACCCCAAAAAAGTTTGAAAAACAGCAAATGCATCCTAAAAATCAGACCCACTGTAATATTCTGCCTGACACCTCATAAAGAGAAGCTTTGTGTGACTGGACATAATATTACATGATATGTCTGGAGTAACTAATGACATGTCTTCCACTTGATCCATTGAATAAACAGGCACAAAGACTTTATGGCATTTATATATATATATATATATATATATATATATAAATATATTAGATCTGCTTTTACATTTGAGCCAAACAGTGACAGAGAAAAACAGCTTATACAATGTTGCTTAAGCTGTATTTGCTGTTCACCCACACAGTCGTGTAACAAAAACACCACAAAGACACACACACACACACACACACACACACTATACTCTAAATTACAGATTCCTAAAGTTAACAAGGGTATTGTCAAAACAGCAGTAAAGCCTTACTCTAACAGCTGCAGACTTGTAATGATCAGGGGTATGCGTATGCATATGCCCCACACTTGTTGTGTTTGGATTAACAACATGCAAAATTCAAAAACTGTGTGTGCAACAAGGATGAAGAATGCAGTACATGCATACTGTGCACGAAACAAGCTTTCAGTTTACTTTTCTAGCGCATGCATAGCCTGCTTGTCAGTCTGTGTGGTGGGAAATTGTGAGCTGCACGCAGATGTCGTCTCGGACCCCTGTGATGACTTGAGCAGATTACTAAATGTACATAGCACTAACCCATATGGTCACATGGATGAGGAACCATGAATTAGCCTTTCGACAGTGAATGTGTCAGTGAATGTAGTTGCTACTGATCCAGGTCTGTGCAAGTTCCGTGTGCTGCTCATTGTTTACAGATGCAAGACTGGAGTTGGAGTTAAGAGACGATGTGTACTACCGGAATGTTTCACAACTAGCCAGTTACAAAGCTCATTTTGAACCAATAAAAAGCGAAATCATCGTCAGACCATAGCCGCTGGGTTCCCAGATTGCATTTCAGCTAATGGGTTCTGCCTCTTTTGCTCTCCACACAGACTGTCTACCTGCATTCAACCAAAGACAGGTGATTGCTCAACACTTTTCGGACTACAAATAGAAATGAATTTAGCACAAACCAGCTGATACACAGTAAGCATCGTGCTGTCAGGGCCCCTGGGGCAATTGTGTGCTTTGCCCAGTTGGTAAAGCAGCCATGGTGTTTCTGTAGCTGCTGTAGTCCTGAAGCAGAGCTACATTGTTTGAGGTGGTGCGTGTACTGCTTGGGTTTGCCTGCAGCATATATGGAAGCTACCTGTTTGGACTTCATTGCTGAGCTGTAACCCCCTAACGCACCAATAGTAATCCAGCTTCGCACCAAAACATATCAAAATAGCAGAAACCACAGGAGGTATTACTATTATTATTTTTATTATATAGCTATTTTGACCCAAAGGCTAAACTTCCAATCTAAAAACTGACTCTTTTGTGTATTGTCAACAAATATCCCCCTGGGGATGAATAAAGTATACATCTATCTATCTATCTATTTGTTTTAGTCTCTGCCAGCCCTTTGTAATGAAGATGGCGTTTCTTTGTGCTACTAATGCACTGTAACTCGAAAACATTCCGTCCACTGCACTTCCATCTCATCCTGATTCCTCTGTAGCACTGCTGCACCCAGGAGTCACGAGACATCATTGTCAAGTGTTTGTGTGTGTGTGAATCATTGTAAGACCAGAAGGGGTTTTCCACATGAAAGGGGACTCAGTAACCTCATCACTTGGTGATATTCCAGTCACGTGGCGCTACAACATGCTCACATAGACTGACACACACACACACACACACATATAGGTCAATAAAAAAAGGATCAAAAACACAAACACGCAGACATTAGCACATGAGCCACTGAACACAATCACTAACATATATATTTACAAAGGAACACGCAGGAACATGAACACATGTATGTTCATTCACATGGGCAACACGTGAATACAGACATGAAAAAACATAGCAACACAAAAAGCGTGTCCACAAACACATGTACATGTTTACACAGGCAGAAAGAGTTGTTTCATGGAGTGTGCATATACAGTATGTGTGAAGTCAGGTGCATGCACACAAACACACCCTTCTGAATGTAGCCAGGAACACAGATACAAAGTGACTGCAAGACGTCTTCTAAAAAAAACGTGTTTATTCGCTCATTTCCAGAAGCCATTTAGTCTAAAACAATGTGTGTGTGTGTGTGTGAGTGTGTGTGTGTGAGTGTGTGTGTATGTGTGTGTGAGAGTGTGTGTGTGTGTGTGTGTGTGTGTGAGTGAGTGTGTGTGAGTGTGTGTGTGTGTGTGAGAGTGTGTGTGTGTGTGTGTGAGTGTGTGTGTGTGTGAGTGTGTGTGTGAGTGTGTGAGTGTGAGTGAGTGTGTGTGAGTGTGAGTGAGTGTGTGTGTGTGTGTGTGTGAGTGTGTGGGTGAGTGCTGTAGCTGTGTACAGTGTCTTTGTTGTGAGGAAGGAGTCTAGACCTGGGTGACTGGTGTCAGTGTTGTGGTGTCACAGCATCAGATGTGGTGCTGAATAAAGCATATGTTGCTTGTTCACCATTGACCCGACAGATACAAACAGTGGGGGATTGTGTTGACAGAATGTAGGTTGCCTTGTAACTCATTCTTATTTAAAACTCCAGAACCACCACGGCCCAGTTAAAAACCAGCAGGCTGTGTCATTTCCACTGCTACACTTTGTCACTGTATTAAAAAATGGGTCGTTGTTTTTTAGTGACCTCAAAGTAAAAAGCAGGAATGACATATTACTTTTGGCATATTGTCATACAATAAATTACCAGACACCAAAAGTTCTGGGTCAGTTGTGCAGCTGAGATGTTTTGGTCTGTGTTTCTGTGAACAGCAGACTAAACCTGGTTACAACATGAACTGGTAAAATTGGCATGTTTACTAACTTGTTTTGCCTGCAAAGGTTTGTGATAGGAGCAATGGTTTCTAATGAGTGCTGGGCATTGTTGAGAGAGTTAGGATAATGAATGAGAAGCTGGGGTCAAAACTCTTTGCTAGCATTGTCTCTTCGAACACATCGCAGCATGTAGAATGGACCATAACATGACATGAAATGATGTGCCGTATATCTGCAGGTGTGTTTGCATTAATTTATCATGTCATCATTTCTAAGCATGTAAGAGATGATGTCATGGATATGGTATAGCCAAAGACTGCACGTCTTTTAGATCAGACTTCCACAGAGAGGAATATACTAGTGTATGGTGTGATCCCTGTCTCTCATACCAGCTACAACATCATGAAAATATCCTGGAAAATGATCTTTAGAAATGAGTGGGAACCCTGAAACTCCAACGGCTGATGCATGCTGGGATATACAGTTGAAAGTTATAAAAGTGGGTATGTAATGAAAATAACAAATGAAAGTGAAAAAAATGAAATCTTCCCAAGAGGATAAATAAATAGAAAATAATCTTCTCCTCTTATTGAAGTGGCACCTAAGAGGTTTAAATGAGTACTTTGCACAATCTATAGTGTAGTAGGTACAGTTGGCCTGTGTATCAGTATTTGTTTCTGCACAGTTGATGTTTTTGGTTTAATAATACAACGTGAGTTAACTGTGGTGTACGGCTTGCACAGAACGTAAGCAAATATTGTTCCAAACATAAGACAGAAGAGAATCAGTGTACCTGTGATAAACATGATGAAGACATTGAGTTAGTGAAGATAAACTACATTTATCTGTCCAGAGAAAATAATAGCACTGGCTTTTTGATGAGGAACAATAACACTTATTATATATATATTTGTATGTAATACATGAATTTCAATCATCAAATGTGTTGCTACGGATCGATCAAATATTACGAATAAATGTCCGGGAAGTGATTGGATTTCCTCTACTCTGGCATGGGACAAAGACTGAGTCTCTGCTGTAAGGAGCTTATGTCTTACCCTGTGGGAGCTTGTGGAGGTTCTCTGTCAGCCACACAAATAGTTTGGCAAAGTGGCAATTACAGAGCCAAGGGTTGCCCTCCAGACGCAGCATCCGGAGGGAGGGCAAGGATTCAAGAACCATGACGTCCAGCGCCATGAGACCATTCCTCTCCAGCTCCAGCTCCCTCAAAGACGTCAACCCCGTGAAAGCATCCCTGCCTACCATGTTTAGGTAGGGGTTGTTCCCCAGTCGCAGTTTGATCAGACTCCTTGACTCCCCAAATGTTCCTGAGGAGATTTCTGTCAGGTTGTTGCTCCCCAGGTCCAAGAAGACCAATCTAGAGGAGGTGCTCAGGGTCCCTGGCTCCAACTGGGAGAGAGAATTATTCCTCAGGTCCAGGTAGACCAGATCGCTGTAGAGGACCAAGAAGTCGGAGGGGATCCAGGGAATCCAGTTGTTGGAGAGCAGGAGACGGCGAACATCCAGAGGGATGGAGTCTGGGACTCTGGTTAGACCTTGGCTGGTGCAGTCCACAGTGTGGTGGTCCGGACACAAACAACTGGATGGGCAGATGTGGCCTCGCGCAAGCAAGGTGGAGGAGATCAAGGCAAGGAAAGGCTGCAGCCAGTTAATGCATGGTATCATTGTTGAGGGGGCGGCAGCATTAAATAGGAGGTGGGGGGTGAGGGGGTGTCGACAGGGGGTGAGAAGAGAGGTCAGGGACACGGACGGATAGACGGTTTCAGATCACAGGAGGGGAAGGGGAAGGAAAGGCCAGACGATGTTGATGGTGTTCAGCGTGGTGCTGGCATCCTTCCCTGCTCTCTGCCCTGCAAAGCGAGAACAAGCCGAAAAGCCATGGAGTAGCGAGGGAGCGTTGTATTCCAGGAGATCATGTAACCAGCAGTCTGGATCAAATGGCAGCCTGCTGGCTTTGAGGGAAGAGAGGGGAGGAGCAAAAGAGAGAGTGTGCAAGAGAGCAGGGGGGGGGGGGATTAACACTGAGGTAAATAGAGACTAACGAACCAGAGGCGAGGGGGGCGGGGTTAGGGGGTAAGCCATGAGACATTTGTGTCTGTGTGGACTCTCAGGAACAGCCCTCCATGCCTCATTAGCCAGCCACTGAGGTAAACCAGCTGCCCTGTCATCAGTCAGATCAGTGGAGCAGAACCACAGCGAGTCCTCACTGCCTGAAACCCTATCGGAGCTCCTTTTTCACCCAACAGACCCCAATGTGTGAGGATTCCATCACCATCCATGACTCACATGTGACGCAGTGTCCTGGACCACTGTTTCCCCCTCTCCCTCCCTGCCTCCTCTTTCAGTCCCCTTTTTTCTTTTTCTCGCCTTGGCTTCACTCGCTGGATGGGGATGGAGAAGAGCTCCCGTCACCATGACAACGTGTCCAAAACATTTGCCTGTAGCAGAATTTGCAGACATACTGTGGAAATGTCATTTTGGAAGGTGTTCTGTAGCTTCTTGCAGGCTGATCATAAAAAGCTGAAATGTCACCTTTATGAAGTGTGTCATTTCTGCTCAGGTTACGTTTAACTTGAAGGCAGTGATGTATGTTTAATGCAGCTATAATTAGAACATATACAGTATGTAATAATGTGGTAATCTCATCAAACACACACTAAGGCAATACCTCAGTTGTATTTATAAAAGAGCTATTTAGTTTATTTTTCATTTTATTTTTACTTTATTTACTTTATGTGTTCATCCTGTTCATGAGTGATGCTTATGAATTTTGGGGGGAAAAATATATATAAAATGAAAAGTATAATCTGTATATCTGAATACAATTAATCCCTCTTCTACTGTAAACTGTTAATTCACAGTAATGTGATAACCGCTGTAAACTCCTCAATGTTTGATCAATCAAATGATTGTACATCATTATATACATGTCAAAACGATAATCACTAGTGAATACCATCACGTGCCCCTGATAAGTTTCATAAAACTTGGTGGTGAAACTTTTGAAGTTAGGTTAATTACCATAAAACATGTAAAAGTTGTAATGAATCTATCTCATCTTTTCACAGTAATTTGGCTTGACATGAATGTGAGAGGCCTCAGTGTAGAATCGACGGATTACTAATTCTAAATCCTTCAATCTTCTGTTTGCCTGTGACGTCAGGCCTGCAAAAACAAATTTAATATTACATAGATATCCCTAGAGTCTTACTAAATCATAGAGTCTCTGCTCTGAGAAGAAGATGACAACAGAAATAAATGCACTAAGTGTGCCCGCTGTGATCTCTATCATGTAGGAAAAGTAGGTCACACCAAGTGCCACATCAGAGGCAGGGCAGCACTGAACTGTACTGAAGTCAGTCCAGTGACAATGACTCATTTAGTAGTCTGGCTCAAGCAAGCCCCCAGGAGCAGCACTGGGCTGGGTTTGGATTTTGGTGTAGTGTAAAATGGTGAATATATTTTTCGGAGGTCTGCAGCACAGGCCCCCAGACTCTTTCTCTTTTGGCTTTTGCTGCTGGCAAGCTGTTCTCTGGTGTCGTCGGTATAAATACGGTGACTAAACAGCTGCTTTATTGCCTCCTCAATTGTCGGCCATCTAGCGCTCTTGTGCTGCTGGAGGTTGTGAGGATCTACCATATTCTTTCTTCCAGGGAGATGGAGACATGGGCCCCTGTATCTTCAGTCATCCATACGATGGGCAGCTGGTTGGGATCTCTCTATTGGCACTGCCAGTCACCACCACTCTTCCATTGGAAAGACCTCTTCAAGGTGTGCGATGAACTCTTTTGTTTTGTTCAGCGTATTCTTCTTTTTTCTGTGACGTTTGCTTCTCCACATTAACCAAACTCTCAAGACAAAGTTGCTTGTTCCAGCCTGATGAATCTCACCTGTTAGTGAGGAGGAGCATGTTTGTCACATTTCTTCATTAGCTAATCAACTCCCCTAAAATGACCATTTAAGGCTACAGTACCTGCTCACTCGGTTTATGGGCAAGTTTCATTCACAACAATGTTACCAAAGATACAAAAGAAGTAATTGTTGCAAGCTTCAAGTCCTGCTGAACTTCATTCAGATTAAAGCAATATGACGTTTTGTTTGTGTTTCAGGGCAGAGCATCAGACCATTGGTGCTTACATAAGCAGGCGGGGTCAACTAACAAAGCCCACAACATTGATAGTCTAAGAGTAAAGGCAAAGTTATTCTCTGGTTCAGTCTCAGCGCTCTCACCAGCAGCAGGTATAAGCATAAGGTAGCTCATTTTAAATGCTGATGTGCCACACGCTCTCTAAATGTTTTTGCAGTGATAACAAAAAGAAGTGATAACCTAAGGTTTTGTGTGCGCATTCTGTAGATATGCACGCACAGAACACTATTAGCCTTAGAGTGTCAATGTAGGTGCACATATGAATGTGTTTCCATGAACCCCAGTGTCCCCAAACCAACACACTCCTCCCAAGAACAGAAGCAGACTAAGACCAGCAGCAGTGTGACTTTGGCTTTGCGTGCCAGTCCCTCTCCATGCTCCAGCGGTGCTCCTCACACATACCTGACACGAGGCCATGCCTGCTAATTATAGGTGTGTCGATTTCTCACTCCCTTCAGTTGTACTAATATGAGCAGTTGCTTCTCTTCCACTTCTCCAATCATTTCTGCTTTCCTTGCTCACGTACATGTTGTGGTTTGTTTGCTCACAAGGCAAGTGAGCCTGTCTACTGTTTGAATATCATTTCACCACCTTTGAATACATGCTGGAAATATTGCAGTGTTATGTGAATATGCGGCTTTTACACGAAACAAATAATAACCGTAGCTGTGGCGTCATGATGACGTTATTAGGAGGTGGTCCAACTGTAGTAGGACAGCACTGAAGGCCCAGGTATAAAACACACGGCCCGCCACTGCCTTTACCCCATGATCATTGAATGCTGATACCTTGCATGACTTGACAGTAGACAGAAAACTGAATAGCTTTCTCATTTATTTTCCTGTGGACCTCCTCTATTGCATGCAAAATGTCCTTTAAAAAAAAAGAACAAACTAAATCTGTTATGGCCCGACTAGTTATGGACACTTTTTGTCAATAGCTTTCCCATTTCTGATCATAGACACTTCACTCCAAATGTTTCTCATAGGCTTCCTCTAATCATACAAACAATCTTCAGTTTTTAAATAAAACCATACCATGTGGCCCATTGCAATTCTAACGTTCCATTTTTCCACTAACCTCTTGTTTTTTTGCCAATTTATATGTATGAGGAGCGTGAATGGTTGTATAAAACAATGATTGCACTGTGTCACACTGAGAGGAACACATCCTAGTGATGTCAGTCCAGCAGAAGCTCATTAATTTAGCACAAAACCCAAATGATGTGTTAATCAATCAGGAGAGGAAGATCCAAGATGTCACAAGTTAGGTGATGGCCTTGCTGTTCTCAAGGTGTTTGAATAAGTTGACACCACACAGAGTAAAACAGAAGAAACAGAGCAGCTCACCTGGGTCTCAGCTGTGGAGTCAGTCCATAGTGGGAATAAAGCTTTCACTTATGATACACGTAACTACTTAAGTGGTAGGAGGACATTTGGAATAACATGTAAAATATTGAGTAATGTGTGAATGGAATTCATGCCTTCGACAGATACTCGTGAAAACAGTGGGTCTAGTTTTAAAATATTAACAGAAAGCATATTTATTGATTCATGAAAAGTTGTTACAGGACAACTAAAAGATCTGATAAAACAGAGAATCTGTAAGTATATAAACTGAGGGATAGAAATAAATCATGAATATTGAATATTGTGTCAAAATGACAGTGATTCTCTACTTCCCTCTTCTGTCCAAAGCTTGTATTACAGAGTGAAAACCACTATGTGACTTCATGCCTTTGGTGTTTTATCTGCAGATGTTTTTGAATTGCACTGGCGTAAAGAAGCTCTACAGTGTACAGTGGATTATGCCATCGTGTCTCGTTGGATATCAAACAAGGTATTAAAGAATGATCAGTGATGGTATATCTTTGCAGCACTAATCATAATCTGCTCATAATCCAAGCAGAAGTCAGTTCATGTCAAAGAATGAAATGCTACGTCTACTGCATATCACCAGTTTTTTTTTATTTTTATTGAAGACAGTTGCTACAAAACTTTGTTGTGCTTTCTTTTCTTTCTTTACTTTTAATTTTCTTGTTTTATACAAAATAAACCAATAACAGTATTACAAATAATTTAAACTGATACAGCATTCACAGGTATACCATCAAATATACATTTATACAGAAAAGCATAAAATAGAAAAACAAAAGTCCAAGTGAGATCACAGTGGTAAGGGCTCGAGAAGAGAGGCGTGTTTGACTGTGGGTGACCCCTCTGGAATCTAACATTGACTCCTGTGTCATGTGCTTTGGACCAAAAAGGGTCCAGAAAATACAGTTAGAACTCCTGTCTATGCAGAGTCAAATGTTTTCAGGGCCATCCCAGGTCAGGCAAAAAGGAAGATTGTGCAGTGTAAAAGGGAACAGGTACTCAGTCTGAGAGACTTCAGACTGTAAAACAAGGAAACGGAAAATTTACGTTCAGTTCAGTTATTCAGAATTTTGTGGAAGTATGACACTACCCTTAAAATGAAGTGTGTCTTATTTTTCTACCACTGGGGGGGACATAGTTGGTTCCCTTTCTTTCAGACAGTGAGATGAACAACAGCAGGACTCAGTGACTCTGTGCAGTCTACAGCAGTCGTGATGTCACATTGGGGTTGCCAGGTCCGAGATTTACAGTTTTTGAGGCCATTACCAGTTTGAAATGACTTTTGGAAAATCTGATAACAATAACATTTTTTTTTACAAAGACATGGCACAGAGCATCATATATATATATACATATATATTAGTGCTGGGCAAGTTAACGCGTTATTATCTCGTTAACGCGTTAATTAAT